ACTCTCCAGAAAGGAAAAGGTGGAGCACCAGGCGTATAAAACTGTGTTGTACTGACTAAATGCAATAGAAAGCTGAGAAGAAACACTCTCCTTGTTGGTCAGCGTCCGAGCAAGGGAGGGTGCAAATGAGGTTCTGTATACAGATACCTGAGATGGGATAGTTTACTGCATCTCGAATTAGAAAAATCGTGGTACTCAAAAATTGTGACTTGGAAAGTGGCCAGTTAGCCCCGAATTCATGCCTAATGTTCGTAAAGCAAGCAGTGCTTATTATTGGAAGAATAACGACGACGCTTGCGTGTTAAAAAGTCAAATATGGCCCTCCAGCATCATCAGTAGCTTTGTGAATACGGAATTTATAGATGAAAAATTTCGAGATTCAGCTATCGATTTTCAATGCAGCTTGTAACGATGATTCGTGATATCAGTTGTTGGATGTGAGACCATTGCAAGCAATCGGAATGATTCGACTGAGTGGCGTACATGCATGACTGCGAGCACACACACAGTTAGACATGTGAGAACATGGATCTCTAACGTATACTAGTCACCCGACCCAAATGTTCTACACATGCATGTGGATGCCAAAATAGTGGCGAACGAACTAACCCCTCGATAGACTGAGTGCGTTGATGCACAGCATAAGCACGTTAGGGGTATGTATATGTCGGATAAACTTACCTTATTGCATTGAACCTCCGTGACTCAGTTGATACCGTGGAAATGTTTTTGGTTCTCACAGTGCTCGATTTAATCGTGATAATTTGATCCTGGTATAGAGTGGCAGAGAGATGATAAATGATAAATATCACTTCAAGGAACAAATAACGCTTCTTTATTTTATTTAGCTCCTTTATCAAACGTTGTATTTGGCTTACAACAATATGCACAGTGTATAGCTGGTCAAAAGAACACCAAAACCATTATTGATTGTTGACTATTTCGTTTCCAAAAAACGTCTCCATTCAATGCAAGCAGCGTTAAACGTAATCCCTATTTGTGGCACATGATTGTTATAGTTCTTCTACGGATAGGACGATTCGGTGGACAAAAACAAGTGGGTAGCACGCTTGCGTTCTGCCCATGAAGTCCCGGGTTCGATCCCCAGTCGGGTCGACGGCTAGCACTTGCGTTCTGCCCATGAAGTCCCGGGTTCGATCCCCAGTCGGGTCGATGGATTCGCACTACTGATGAGACCCAACCAGGTCAAAACAGCTGTCCAGTGCTTCCGATCTTTTCAGTTCACGCTTCATTTGCTATATACACGACGAATTGTCATTTGAAACTTAACCAAATCCTCCATTAATCACATGAAAACATGAATTGTCGAAAATAAATTTAGAGTGCTCATTTAAAGCAACTGCTATCAATTACTCTTCTTCCGGTAGGCTGGACTGCGCTTCTAGTTTCACCGATTGAGGACAAGATAAATGGATTGCAAGAAACCTTCAACTACGTATAGAACGTGAGACTCCTTAGATCGAAGACAAATATCGTGAGTGGGGTGTGCAATTGTGGACTATTAAAATTAAACAGCAGAGAATGAGTTCCAATTAAGGCATCTCCGTGAGACGTTTTTATTTTACCCATAGGTGACTTATAGCAAGTCGTAGTTTTCATCCAGATCACAACAAACATTGCTTTAATTTTTGTGTTGCAATCGACAATAGGGAACAATAGTCCAAAATAAAGGTTAGCTTAGATTCCATAAGAGTTTGTAGTTGACGCGCATCTGACAAAATGATAGCCAGTTCGATAGAATACCTATGAGAATAGTTCGGTAATAGAACCCAGCTAGTCCCGTTATGTGTTTGATCGGGTTTGAATCGCATAGATGGAAAGTTCATGTTGATTTTACAAATCAACAGAAGCGAACCAAATTCAAAAGGAAATTATTTTCAGATCTCAATTGTCGTTTATTCAACTGTTTACGATCAGTCACCCAAACAATTAACCAGTTCACCTGTCTGTCTATCTGATGTTTACTTATTTGTTTAACTGCCTAAATCTTGTACCCATGGCGATTAAAACTAGTATGCATGAATTGAGAGCCTTTTCAAGTTCTATCGGCATCAAATTCAAATGACTACTAGCAGCAATAAGAAAACTTTTGATAGTTCTCATATCATAAGCGAATCAATTTTCGATAGCCTTTTTACTTACACAGGCGCATCTACCACGAGTTATGCTGTGGATCTGTGCTTCGTAATCCGCATTGACTTGATTGATTTGTTTTTGTTTTTCGGAATTGTCACCTTGATAGAAAATTCTCCAACAGGGTTCGACACAATATGTTCATTGTTTGTGATGGGATTGATCGTTGGTTCGGTTAGTCCAGGTATGTTATCATTCATCTTTTTCCTTCCAATAAGTCCTCACGATTCGCCACGGAACCTGTGTCGAGAGCATTGTGTACTACTCGAAAAGTCGACTGATTATTTTTTGAAGTCAATATGACATGTGAAGTCTTTGCTTTGTTCAATCCAATGTGATCGTTCCCCATTTGACAGTAGATAACGATGAATGATTGTCTGTCCATTTTCAGACACTAGCGCTTTGTGTAGTTCATTGAGTTATTTTGTCTTCATCCAGAGAGTTCTTTTTTAAAAACTTCCACTTTGTTATGGCTTTTTAAAGAAAAAGAGAAATGTCTGTAGATTCAATCAATTAACGTCGTTTACTTTTAGCCAAAGTAAGCGCTGCGACGCAGTTCTCTCCTCCAAGGATACGAACAGTCTACTGTTTATTTTGCTAACTTGCATGCTAATTTTGAGAATCCCGGAAATTTCATTGATATTGAGTGCTGCTATAACTATTTTAGTTATAGTTAGAATTGAACAGTTGTCCATTATGCTCCTTTCCTCCTCGTGTGGCGCTCAATTTTGTTTAGTTATTGTAATAAGAAAAAAAACGTGAAGCCCATTTTCGTTTTATTTTTCAATCGAGTCTGTTGACTCGTTGGAGAATGGCTCCACATTGAAGGATACCTCTTCACGGTGAGTGTAACTCGTTGTTTATCACCAGACAAAATCAAGGTCTGTTTTGTGTTCCCTGTTACTCCTATTTTTTCCTGAGTTTTCAATTCTGAAACAATATTTTTTGTCTGTTCTCGTGACGGAATGATAAGCTATTTATTGCGTTGGTTCCAGTTTTCCAGATGATTTTCGATACAGGCGGTATTTTTGTCACTTCGATATAATCGATCACTTTTCCGGGTTCTTTTGGAAACATTAAGTATCATTCCCTTTTTCGAGTTTTACTTCTTTCTTTCGATACGATTTCAAAATGCTCCTTTGTTTCTGGCTGAAGTCCTTCAATTTTGAGACTTTTATGCTATTCTGCATTTGATGCATACATTGATGAGAACTTTAATTGATCTATAATTTTTCTGCGACTCATGTGTGATTCGTGTGTTGTCAGTACACATGAGATGAACATTACCTCTCACGAGTAGTAACAAGTCAATCAACGGAAGCCTTCTTAAGATGGGTTTCTATGAGTGTCGAATGGGGCGAACGGTAATGAAGAGAAACAAATAAATGATTGTAGTAGTTTGGGTTCAACGGATTCACAAATATCTATTCGATGTATCGATATCGGTAAATGAAAGTCACTATAGCAGTTGGCATTTGGGAAAAACATCGATAACAAAAACTTTGTTGTGTGATATAGTAAAACTAGCGAAGTTAGAGTCACTTGCATTGACAAAATTGATTCAGTCATTGCTTCTTACACCGAAAATTAGGATCATATGGCCAATCAATCTGATCGCCCGATTGATCGAATTGAGTATTACCTATCAGTTTGGCAGTTTGAACTGATTTTCAACCTAGACAACCGCTTAACGGAAACGCGTTTGAAACACGAGAGCAATATCTCTCCCCCTATTGAACTGATAGTCCCCCGCGTCCATTTGTTCCCTGCGGACAATCTGACACTTATTTTCTAGTTTTCATTTCATTGGCTATCGAGCATCCCGCGCGCTAACAGTGTCCATATTTATTGATCATTCGAGGCGGCTCGTCTTAGCTGATGTCCGTCCTTTTATCTGTCTGTCGACTGATCTCTGTGTGTGTATCCTCTCTCTCTCTCTGGCATTCGAATAATACAGTCACCGATTGCACGAGAAATCGAGCACTAGGTATTGCCCGAATAGGCGTGGTTATCAACAAAACCCCTTCGAGTTGTAATTCGGTTTGCTTGCCTCGTCTCATTGCTAAAGTTACTGATAAATTAGGATCACTTAGGGGTGATCGATAAAAATTTGGTTCTGCAGTCATTGGTGAAACTCAAAGGTGTGTAAGGAAAGTTTATGATTTAAAGACTTCAATAGGCATTTTGGGTTGTGCCTGCCAGTGCCCAGCGGATTAAGGAAAAATCTGAACTTTACAAAGTAAGATGGATTGAATGTGTCTCAAGTGAACCACACAACACATTCTAGTAGGGTGAACTGGAAAGGATCTAGCAGCTGTACTGTAATCCACAGGTTCATCTTTGATGATTTTTACCTTAGTTGTTTATATATTGTAGCATTCGGAAACCTTTAGCGATACGTCTGAAATTGATAATTCGCCACTGGTTGTATATCTAATAGTTCCGCCATTTAAATTTCTTTGGGTTATGAATAGCTGAAAAATCCCTCACTGAAGGCACACAATCGAATGTAGAAACAGTTGCCGCTTCTCATCGATACACATTTAGCGTACTTCGATCTAGTCGTTACTGGACTACAACCTCCGAAATATATGCTCCTGCAAGGGCATGGATGAAATCTTACTGAAAATTTTATTGTGATTTTGAGTGGCAGTTTTCATTAAGTTTAGTTTTCTTATATGTCATTAGGGGTAAGGTCTGTCTTCATGTGCCCCGACAGTTTTCATCAAACTATCACATAATAAGGTGAATTTCCATATTATTTGTGCCATATAGGATGCATTCGATAAGTAGGGAATAACGCACAACTGGTTATTCCATAATTTTATTATCCAAATACTTTCTTAATGGATTTTGAATTTCGTTTTCTATACGGATTTCAGTTTTGGGAGGTTATTTCCGATGAACACGGTATTGACACAACCGGAACCTATCATGGAGACTCTGAATTACAACTTGAGCGAATCAATGTGTATTATAACCAGGCCACTGGTGGGAAATATGTTCCTCGAGCTGTATTGGTTGATCTTGAACCCGGCACAATGGACAGCGTTCGAGCCGGACCATTTGGTCAGCTGTTTCGACCGGACAACTTCGTTTTCGGGCAAAGTGGTGCGGGTAACAATTGGGCTAAAGGACACTACACCGAAGGAGCAGAGCTTGTNGCTTGTGGATTCCGTATTGGACGTGATTCGTAAAGAGTCTGAGGCATGCGATTGTCTTCAAGGCTTCCAGCTCACCCATTCTCTGGGTGGTGGAACTGGATCCGGAATGGGGACTTTGATGATATCGAAAATCAAGGAGGAGTACCCGGATCGCATAATGAACACATTCTCCGTTGTCCCATCACCGAAAGTGAGCGACCTTGTCCGGATTATGTTGTTCGCTAAGCATTCTTTTCTGTTTTGTCTTGGGGATGTTGCATATCCGTATCGATTTTTTATTCCGCATATAAAGCAGTATTTTTGGCGCAAGGGCGATTGCTGACCAAAGTCCTATACTCTGTAGAACTGTTGAGTGAAACGCACTGCTCATGCTTGCTGTTCTAATCCAATAATACTTCAAGTTTCCTTGTTGTGAACCACAGATCTGTTCTATCATAGAGATCTTGGATGAATATTTTTGCTCTTTACATTTACGGTTAGTGAATACAGATCGATATTTGACAAGCGAGTATCTGGATGTTCGAGTGTAAGATACATCA